GGCTACAATGTAAAAAGTGGGCTTTCTGTAATTATGTGCTTTCCTTTTTTACCGTGTACTATACTTTTTCCTTAAAATTCTATAAAGTAATTTAAAAATAGAAATTATGTAAATAAAATTATTGTGACACCTCACTCGATGCACTAGGTAAGTTCTTGAAAAAGTATGTTGATAAAATAAAACAGGAACAGACAGGGGTGGGGTATTTGAGAAGCACAGGAAAGATGCCAAAACCTAATTTATGCAGGAAAGGAAGTTTTTGTTGATGGTAGGGATGGAGTATTGCGATCCATGTTGAATTGTAACATGAAGAGACAAGGCTGAAGGAGGCGAGATCAGCAGTGAGGGTGGGAGAGAAGACTCAAGGTCAAGATTTGCCAGAGCTGATGAAGATCGGGGCTAGAATGGGTGTGTCATTGATGTCGACTTCTTTCTCTGTCCTTTTCTTTGCTTGTTCAAATACTCTAGAAATACTTGTTAGTTCAGCATAAATGACTCGAAGTCTTTATAAACGTTTTCTGATTCCTAGGATATCTTTCACCTAACACTATGCTCTGGTTATTGCCCAATAGATGCAGGGAAAAAATGAAGCGGAGAGGTGACCATAACTAAAAGAGACAGGTTGGGAATAACATTTGGTCCTTCCTTTCTTCACACCCTAGTCGGCAAATTCCATGTAAAGTACTGCTGACTAATTATTACAAGAGGAAAAGTAAGTGTATGTCACGAACTAAGGTAGGATAATTTGCTTATTAAAAAGAATCTGCACCCCAAATAACATAGATTCAAAACAAAGGTTTCAGATCTGACGTGAATGTTCAGTTTATTTACAGCTTTTTGTTGAGGAGAACTTTGCTTAGAGGATAAACACTGAGATGAAGCAAAGACATTTTTGGCTTCTTTCAAGGAGTTTGTTATCTGCATGTCCCACACTTGCAGCCATAATAGTCAACTACTGAGAAGCCTACAGACAACCAGCAGCCTTTCCTGTTACCTGCCTGCCACTCCTCTAAGCACAAAGTGCAGGATTTGGCCAACTCTGATTAAACATTTACTATTGTTCAGCTCCGGGCCTTTTAACACAATAAGTCTGTGATGGTCCTTGTTCAGATTTTGTATCCTGTTTTCGTAACCTATATCCTTCATAATTGGCTAGGTTGCGTCTCAGGAAGATTTTTAAATGATTCATCACTTTACAAGTTCTGAAGCAGGTTAATGATTTTGGAAAAAGTATTTTTGCTTAGCAACCTAATTTCAATTGCTGTGTGAGTTTTTCAAGAGTGTCTATGGAGGAAGACATGAATGGGTTTCTCCAGCTCTGTAGTATGAAGTAAAAAACTATCTTAGTAAGCATTTGGAAGTTTTTCTGGATCATTCGACTTATAGAGTGTTTCCCCCACCCCCTGCACCCCTCCAACTTAGAGGAAAGCCATGTACACAGTGAGTAGGTATTTGGAGTCAGACCTGGGTTCAAATCCTAGCTCTTCTATTCATGAGGAGGATCTGTGTGATCCAGAAAAAGATATTTAATCTCTTTAAAGAGAGGCTACACCTCAGTGGCCTCACCTGTAAGTAAGAATAAGAGCATCTACTTCATAGGCTTGATGTGAATATTAATTTAAATGAGATGCTGTATGTGAAATGCTGGTCACACTGTGTAGCGCTTCAGAAACAGTGTGTGAGAGCTGTCAGAATAAGGAAGTGTTGAATGTCGCTGAATGTGACACGTGGAAGTCCATTACTGTCTGGACATTTTCTCCCTACAAAATAGAATAAAGTGACTTGAAGTGGACATCACTGACGGCAGACTTGGCTTCACTGTTGAGAAATTATGTTTTTCTCCCTCGTACATGTTGTCTAATGCTTTCCTAAAATATTTCTTGACGAGTTTGCTATCTCTGAGTACTTCTGCATTCCTGAGATAGAACAGGTGCTGACTGTTGACTTTGTTGTGGAGATAAAGATAGTAGATACTATTTGGATCACTGAGAAAGGACTCAAATCCATGTGCACATGTCAGAGGAGAAGCAATTAATGGGAAATTTCAGTGTCACAGAAGAAAAACATTTGCTAAGACAGAATTACTATCACGGGTCTGGCACGGGAGATTTTCCATCAGCCAAAGTGAATTAATGTGGAAGAGAATAGGGAACTCAATCGTTTGGCCTGATTAGAGATATAAAATAATTAGATAATTCTAAAATGTGTGGAGTTTTCCTGTAATTAATTAAAGTCATAAATTTCATAATTAACCCTGTAATCAATGTTCATTAATTAATCTAATTCTGTTAATTCTGAAAAGCTATTCATACTATAATAAAAGTTATTTTAAAATATTAATATCAGACTGAAATTTTTAAAAAGAACTAAATATAAAGAGTTGGTAGTAAGTAGACTCCACTTTCTGTGTGTTTGCACATATAGTTGATTGAGTAAATGCATGTAACATATAGGTCGTTATGCATTTGTCCTGTTTTAGGAATATCCTAATGCTATAGCTCCTATAAAAGGCATAGAAAACAGGGAAATGAGACACAAACACGTGATACAGTCAGATACGAACGCCGTGTGTGATTCAGCCTGTGTTTGAGTTTAAAACATCACCCCCTCTCTTCCTATGCTTTGGGAACTATTGTCTGGAACTTCCATTAACGCACGATCTAAATTGAAGTTGTCAAATCAATATTTGATGTACCATCCCAAAGAGCCTTAAGATCTTGTAGAGAAAATTGTTTCAGATGAGAGGAATTCACATGTGGTATGGAGTCGCAGGGAGTCACTGCTCACTCTCGGAAGCCCATGTGTCTCGGGTGTGATGTGTAACAGGTCAAGAGTTAAACCTGAAACTTTCTATCCATCCTGCCTTTTTTTTGGCTTGAGGCATAAGTCAGCCCGCTCTGCCCACAAACAGGCTGTGATGAAAGACAGTAGGCCTGCTCTGATGTGCTCTGGCTACTATTGCAAAGAGACATCCATTCTTTGTTCACCAGAGAAGCACAAAAAGATGGTCTAAAATCCAAGAATGAATCACTGAGTGAACCAGAAAACAGGGTGCCAGTGTTAAGGAGCACTTTTCCGGTTTATATTGTTCAAAGTTAGGGTGCTATAGAAAGTTCACACATACACAAAAGGGTCCTTTTGGTTATCAGAGTTCACTTCAAAAGGAGTATGAATGTAGATTTCAAGATTTGTTGGAAGAATTGAATGTTCACTATATGAAAGGAACATCACACTGTATTCATCTTTCTATTATTAATCTAGTGTTTTGAAAGCTTTCCTTAGTTTCTTCTTCTTCTTTTATTTTTGAGGAAGATTGGCCCTGAGTTAACATCGAATCCTCCACTTTTTGCTGAGGAAGACTGGCCCTGAGCTAACATCTGTGCCCATCTTCCTCTATTTTTTATGTGGGACACCTGCCACAGCATGGCTTGACAAGCGGTGCGTAGGTCCATGCCCAGGATCCCAACTGGCGAGCCCCAGCTGTCAAAGCAGAGAGGGAGAACTTAAACGCTGTGCCACCAGGCCGGCCCCTCCTTAGTTTCTTACGTATGGTTGCATTCATAAAGGAAATTTACTTTCAGAAAACAAAGTCCCTGTATTTTATCTGGCATGACTAATGAAATTCTTGCTGCTTAGCTGTTCAAGGAAAGGACTGTTTATGCAGTGAGTTTTAAATAAGCCCATGCATTAAGCTACTATAAGGGTTTAGGCACATTCTGTAGCACAGTCCCCCAGGCTATTGTAGCTCTTTCTACAGCACTTGCAGGCCCAGCCCTTTAGTCGGATGTGTTTGTAACCTACCTGCTGGTCGTGTTCTTTTGCACGGAGATGGACGGAGACTCTGTAACGCATTCATCATGGAATGACTCGATTGTGCTCCCCATGGGACTGCTTTGTCTTCTTTCTTTTACTATTTTATTATTTCTTTATTTGTAAATTTTGATTTTGAAATTGATCTGTTTTCCCCAGTTCCTTGTTTCATATTCTTGTTTCTTGTTTCTGTAAATGACTGACATCAAAAGCCCTAATTTTGAGGAAGATGCTCTGGAAGAGTAGAATTCCACATCACTAAAAACGACACCGCCCCCCTCCCCTTGCTTTGCCTTGTGCCTCTCTCCCTTTCAAGCCCCCTCACCCCATGGGGACTTGTCTGCACATCTTGACTTCCAGCTGGTTCCTGGCAGGGTTTGAGGTTTGATTTGTCTGATAGACTTAATTTAGAATCACTTTAAAAAAAATAGACTTTTAGTTTTACAACAGCTTTAGATTAACAGAATTATTGCAAAGATAAGACTGGGGGTTCCCGTATACCCCACACCCAGTTTCCTCTGTAATTAACCTCTTACATAAGTATGGTACATTTGTTATAATTAATGAACCAATATTGATACATTATTATTGACTAAAGTCCATGCTTTATTCGTATTTCCTCGGTTTTTCCCTGACGTCTTTTTTCTACCCCAGGATCCCCTCCAGGACACCTTATTACATTTAGTCATTATGTCTCCTCAGGCTCCTTTTGGCTGTGACACTTTCTCAGATTTTCCTTGTTTTTGATGAGCTTGATAGTTTTAAAGATTACTGGTCAGGAATTTTGTAGATTCTCTTTCAGTTGGGACCTGTCTGATGTTTTTCTCATTGTTAGACTTGGGTAATGTCTTGGGGGAGGAAGACCACAAAGATAAAGTGCCATTCTTATCACATCATATCGAAGATTCATGCCATCAGTAGGACTTCGCACTGCTGATGTTGACCTCGATCACTTGGTTTGAGATGTTGTTAGGTTAGAATCACAGTTTCACTTTTTCCTGAGGACCATCAAAGCCTTTTCCTGAAGATTTCAAGGACACATTCATTACAGCTATAAGGAAGCTAACCGGGACTGATCTTTTGTTATTTCTTGATTGGCGGTAGTATAAAGTTTCTATAAGTTTCTAACTACTTACACAAAAATAATTTCAATGGTGACAAAAACATCTTATCTTTTCCATGTGTCGTAGGTGGGAATGAGATCCCGAAACCAGGGTGGCGACAGTTCATCCAACGGGCACATCTCCTGCCCCAAGCCCTCCATCATCAGTGATGCTGGTAAAAGCCTCTCAGAGGATGCGAAAGAGAAGATCAAATCCAACAGAAAGGAGGAGGATGTCGTGGCCTCAGGAACTGTCAAACGACACCAAAAACCATGTGGAGAAAGCGAACGGAAGAACAAGAAATCCTTGGAGTTATCCAAAGAAGACCTCATCCAGCTGCTCAGCATCATGGAAGGGGAGCTGCAGGTAGAGTGGAATGTTCTCAGCTATCGCGTTTCTAGTCTCAAGGCTATAAAATAAGAGACTATGAACCTGTCTCCCTCACTGGATTGGGAACTCCATGCGGAAAGGGGCTGTTTTTCTTATTCCTTTCTAAATCCATCGTGCCTGGCACAAGTTTGCACTGAATAAATATTTGTTGAATGAATGAAAAAATGAATAGATGCTGATTCCAACTTCAAGCTTCTCTAGGAGCAGAAAATTTATGATATGATTTTGGTAATAATTTAGCACAGGCCCCTGTATCTAGCAGTAAGTAATCGATGAGGTTATCTAATTTAGCCATTGGCTGTGACTGAAAACCGCAGAAAAGTCATGATTATTAAAAGTCAGAGTTAAGGTCAATTGTTACTTTTGTTTTTTGCAGAAGGTGGAGTAAAAGAGAGATATAGAGATAGAGGGAAAGAGCGAGGGAGAGAGAATGAGAGGGAAAGAGAAAGAAGGCTTTGTTAAAACCAGACTTGCTCTTTTCTTGTTTTTTCATAACTTTCAGCTTTACTTTTCAACAATATCATAGGAGTTGAGATGCACACAGATAAGCACAGCATTGCATTGTGAAGAACCTAATACTTTCACAGAGCATTTTCAAGCATATTATCTCATTCAATCTCAATAAAAGTGTGGGTATCATCTGTATTTTATAATGAGGAAACTGAGGCCCAGAAAGACTAAGCATTTGTTCAGATCTCACGTTAGGCGTCCTGATTCTCGGTCTAGTGCTTTTTCCACTGGCCACCATCACCAACCTTCTCAAGCTGCCATGAGCCAGGTTCCGCATTACGTGTATGTTTTTAGGGATCCAGGAGAGAGTTGGAATTCTTCTGAGTTTCTGAGCCCCGGGCAGTTGTATTTCTGGAAGTGGGAAAAGAAAAACTTTTTCTTTTTGGAGGAGAGGCCGACTTACAAGTGGAGTTGTTGTTTTCCATTTTGTTTTTATTAGGTTCTCAGCTTGCACAAGCTTCTAGGGGAAGACTAACAATTGCATGAGGTGAAACCTCTGTTAGCTCACTGCTGCTGTTAGCATTAGAGAGATTACTTGCAACCGACCCTACACTTTTGTTGGCTAGCCTGACCTGTTGCTGTTCTCGTCTGTGTGCATACATATAAGGAAACGCTTGGGTAAAGAGAAATAGAAAACACATGAAACTCAAATTAAAAAAACGAACAAACCTTTGAGCTTACCATTTACGGGCTGAGAAAAATCACATTTCATTTCATAGCAAAAGATGACATTTTCCAGAGTGCCATCATTGCTAAAATTAGCTTTGCTACTCACAGAAATGTGGTTAATCTTTTGTCTGTTGATATTTATTGTGCAGGGAGGTAGAATATATTACTCCAGCTTTTTAAGCTGCCCCAGCCAACAGCTGTTGACCTGAGTGGAAGGTCTAAATGTCGCCTTTGAGATCGTCACACAGCAATGTCATCAGATCACTTCTTTCCAGCCATGGTGGCTTGCATGAAGCCCACGGCTCTTCCAGACTGTAATTTCTGTAGCCAGCTGTTATATCATAGTGTATTCTGGAAGGTATTAAAGGTTCATGTGACTTTTATGTTCATGGTGTTGCCGGATAGAGTTCCAGAGCCTAAGCATGAAAATATAAGCCCCACACACCCAGGACATTAAAGAAATTAGCCAGAAGACTCCAAAGAAATGCATTTTGCTTTCCATTAAGCTTTATGAATACAGGACACCTCACCTTACACAGTGGATGTATTCCTGAGGAGCACTAACTAACTAAAAACTGTAAGATATTTGGGGGTGAGGCAGTGATGGAAAAGAGAAATTAACGACCTGGTATTTTAATGAATTGCGTGTGAATTCATTTGCAAAGCAAATAACTGATCCCTATGTATTTGTATGCACATACATATACCTGTAAGTATATGTACTTATCAATGCAAATTTTGCAATATTAAATTTTTTAAAAAGAGTGCTGTAGACATATGTTTTTATAGCAGACACTTGTCCTTTATTAGCGCTGTCATATGAGAGGTAAGTGTGTTGTAGGTAAGAGTGGGAATCAGTTGGCATTAGCAAATGTGCGTGGGCTGGTGAAAATGTGCCAGGTTTGCCAGGCTAGAGATGAGGAAGAAAAATCTGTCTAAAGATCTAGTGCTGAGAGGAGAGGCAGGAATATGCCTTGTGAGATAAGGTAGCCCAGCTGAGGCCTGTACGCCGTTCAGCTTGACGTGGACGAGCATTAAGTGAGCTGTCTCCCAGGCCTCCAAAGGTGGTCTCCCTTTGTGGGAGTGGCTCTATGTGACACAGATGCCTTATTCCAGAGGTGGCGCTCTACGGTTCTACAAAAGATTGGGTCAGACAGACATCTTTTTTTTGAAATTGCTTTTTCTTCAGCTATTTTATTGAAACCATAAAGGTTTATAACACTGTATAATTTCAGGTGTATATTATTATTTATAATTTCTGCATAGACTGTACTGTGCTCACCACCAGTACTCTAATTTTTGTCCTTCACCGTATAAATGTGCCCCTTTACCCGTCTCGCCCACCCCCAGCCCCCATCCCCTCTGGTAACCACTAATCTGTTCTCTTGGTCCACATGTTTGTGTATCTTCCATATATGAGCAAAATCATGTAGTATTTGTCTTTCTCTGGCTGGCTTATTTCGCTTAACATCATACCCTCAAGGTCCATCCATGTTGTTGCAAGTGGGACGATTTTATCTTTTTTTATGGCTGAGTAGTATTCCATCGTGTGTATATATATATATATATATATATATATATATATATATATATACACCACATCTTCTCTATCCATTCATCCTTAGAAGGGCACTTGAGTTTCTTCCACATCTTGGCTATTGTGAATAATGCTGCAATGAACAAAGGGGTGCATAAATCTCTTTGTATTGTTAATTTCAAGATCTTTGGATAAATACCCAGTAGTGGGACAGCTGGATTGTATGATATTTCTATTTTCAATTTTTTGAGAAATCTCCGTACTGTTTTCCATAGTGACTGCACCAATTTGCATTCCAACCAGCAGTGTATGAGAGTTCCCTTTTCTCCAACATCTGTTATTTTTCGTCTTGGTAATTATAGCCATTCTGACAGGTGTAAGGTGATATCTAAATGTAGTTTTGATTTGCATCTCCCTAATAATTAGTGATATTGAACATCTTTTCATATGCCTGTTGGCCATCTGTATATTGCCTTTGGAGAAATGTCTGTTCATGTACTCTGCCTGTGTTCTGATTGATTTGTTTGTTTTGTTGTTGTTGAGTTGTCTGAGTTCTTTATATATTTTGGAAATTAACTCCTTGTCAGATATATGATTTGCAAATATTTTCTCCCATCTGTAGGTTGTCTTTTCATTTTGTTCATGGATTCCTTTGCCTTGCAGAAGCTTTTTAATCTAATGTAGTCCCACTTATTTTATTCTTTTATTTCCCTTGCTTGAGTAGACATGGTATTTGAAAACATGCTGCTAAGATGAATGTCAAAGAGTGTGCTGCCTATATTTTCTTCTAGGAGTTTTATGGGTTCAGGTCTTACATTCAAGTCTTTAATCTATTTTGAATTAATTTTTGTGTATGGTGCAAGATAATGGTCTACTTTCATTCTTTTGCATGTGGCTCTCCAGTTTTCCCCACACCACTTATTGAAGAGACTTTCTTTTCTTCCTTGTATGTTTTTGGCTCCTTTGTCAAAGATTAACTGGCCATAGATGTGTGGTTTTATTTCTGGGCTTTTAATTCTGTTCCATTGATCTATGCATCTGTTTTTGTGCCAGTACCATGCTGTTTTGATTACTATAGCTTTGTAGTATATTTTGAAGTCAAGGATTTTGATGTCTCCAGCTTTGTTCTTTTTTTCTCAGGATTGCTTTGGCTATTTGAGGTCTTTTGTTGTTCCATGTAAATTTTAAGATTCTTTGTTCTATTTCTGTAAAGAATGTTATTGGGATTCTGATTGGGATTGCATTGAATCTGTAGATTGCTTTAGGTAATATGGACAATTTAACTATATTTATTCTTCCAATCCATGAGCGTGGAATGTCTTTCCATTTCTTTAGATCTTCTTCAATTTCTTTCAATAATGTCTTATAGTTTTCAGTGTATAGGTCTTTCACCTCCTTGGTTGAATTTATTCCTAGATATTTTATTCTTTTTGTTGCGATTATAAATAGGATTGTATTCTTGACTTCTCTTTCTGCTGGTTTGTCTTTGTTGTATAGAAATGCAACTGATTTTTTTAGCTTGATTTTGTACCCTTCAACTTTGCTGTAGTTGTTGATTATTTCTAATAGTTTTCTGGTGGATTCTTTAGAGTTTCCTATATATAGAATTGTGTCATCTGCAAACAGCAAGAGTTTCATTTCTTCCTTTCCAAATTGTTGGGTTCCTTTTATTTCTTTTTCTTGCCTAATTGCTATGGCAAAAATGTCCAGTATTATGTTGAATAGGAGTGGTGAGAGTGGACACCCTTGTCTTGTTTCTGTTTTCACAGGGATGGCTTTTAGTTTTTCACCATTACATATGATGTTGGCTGTGGCTTTGTCATATATGGCCTTTATTATGTTGAGATACTTTCCTTCTATCCCCATTTTCTTGAGAGTTTTATCATAAATCAATGCTGAATCTTGTCAAATACTTCCTCTGCATCTATTGAGATGATTATGTGGTTTTTATTCCTCATTTTGTTGATGTGGTGTATCACATTGATTGATTTGCAGATGTTGAACCATCCCTGTGTCTCTAGTACGAATCCCACTTGATCATGGAGTATGATCCTTTTAATGTATTGCTGTATTTGGTTTGCCAATATTTTGTTCAAACAGGCATCTTTGAGGTGGCTTATCTACCTCCTTTATATTACAAATGTGAAACTGATATTCACACAAACTTTGTGACTTGCCCAAGGTTGCACGGCAATTTAGTTACATTTGCTCTATACCCAACACTGTCTCTCAGTACAATGTCCCTCCCATTTTATCATTT